TGGATGGTGTAGAAAGTACTCACACAGAGGGAGCCACTCTAGTTCCATTCACCTGAGCCCAGAGGAGGCTTCTCCACAGTTTGGCAGGGTGCTAAGACTCAGCACCTTGCCCCAGGCCCACCATCTCCTGACAGAGAAAGTGCACTGGAAGCTTTTATAAATAGGCACTTCCCAGTATTGCTTATTCATACATGTAGATAGAGAGCAACTGGTGTGATAAGCAATGCTACCCAAAAAAAAAAAAGCTTTAAGAGGAAAATGTAAAAGAGATCCCTATTGAAGGTATCAGATAAACAGCAAGAAAAACATTGTAGATCACTGTGGGAGAAACTTTCATTACGTCTCACTATGAGCAGTTCTTGCAATAGGAAGGATAAAATGCAATTTTTTTTTTTTTTTGAAAGAGTATGTGCTGAAGAATGAGAAGATGCCTGGCTCACAAAACCCAAACCCTCTTCACCGGTTTTGAAAAACACATTTTTGCATGTATTGGTTTCAATTGCTTTGGCCACACATTTCAAGGAGATTTGGGCATATGACTAGGATGCATTTTCGAAACCAGTATGTCTTTTAGAAATATGTGTGATGATTAGCACATATTCCAAATATTATGAAAGCAAATTCAGACTGTGAGACACAGGGCCTGCCTTGAAAAGTCCAGCAGAGCAGCTGACATTAAACTGTGTAAAATTCTTGTATGTCAAAGACGGGATATATTATTCTCTTTATATTACTTATCCATTTATTTTCAGATAGATTGAATACTTTATGTGACAGTATGAAACAGTGTAGTGCAATCCATAATAAACTTGAATTTTTTTTTTTAAGGTGTTCAATAGTTTTTATATTTTATTGTTGCTAGTGAGGACTGAGCTTGCATTCAGCTGTTACTGTGCCAGCCTGGCAGAACCCCATGGAAGTAACTGAAGCTGTTGTAACTGAGTACAGACTGTAGGTTTGTGCATTTTGCAAAGCATCTGGAAACTACAGTGGATCAGAGCCAAACTCGTAACTCATTGCTATTGCTTTGATTATGTGATGATTTTATGACATATAATATGCCATTTTCTTAACAGCAGTCTTTTAAATGTAAACCCCTGGGAACTGATGTGTTTCTGTCCCAAACTTTTGTTTGTTGCTAGCTTGGGTAAGGGTACTATATTGGAGACCAGGTAAAATATACTTCCTTGACTTTGAGTGTGGTGCTTGAGTATGAAAGACTTTTAACACCTTACGTAAGCAGTTTAGACATCCAAGTCAGCTTCCAAGGCAAGACTAAGAGCATCATAGTAAAACCAGAAAATATCATGAAGGACTGAACTGTCTGAAAGACTGAGATAGCCCCCTTAATATAATTTGCCTGGCAACCTCAGAATTCCTGTTTGAAACGAGCACGCCAGAAAAATGGAATTAAACAAGTTGAGTAACTCTTTTTATACCTTTGGCTGTCTTTAGGAGTATGAAGAAATTTAACAGATATTTGCTGCTTCGAATATTCACTAGCCTGAGGTCTGAGACAGGATCATTTATTTTCATTTGACAAGTAGGTTTTTGTTCCTTCATTTTCAGAAAACACAAAATTTCACATTTGAATGTTGTATATAATTAAATATTATATTTTTTAAAATGTGCCAAAGCAAAATAGGGGTGCAATGGAAGGCACAAAATAGTTTTATTATCACTTTGGCAAGTCCTACAATAAAGCATGAATAATTCCTTTGCAAGTTAGTTGATGTATGTGATAAATAGGTTCAGAAATACTGATTCATTGTCTTTTCAGGCTTTCAGTTTTCCTACCCCTGCTTTGATTATTGGATGGCCAAAGAGACTTCTTTGGGAGGCTGATTCAGCATATTGGAAGTGAAGGGACTTGATGGTTTTTTAATTAAAATGAACTTTCAATCCAAAACTTCTTTCTGCTTCCTCCAGTCTTACCCCCAAATAAAAAAAGAATACTAGCTCCTAATTTCTTTGTCTTGTGCCTCTGACCCAGTTGTTTCCCATCTTCCTCATTCCTAATGACCTTCTCCCAATCTACTCTGGGTTCCTCCCAATCTACTCTGGGTTCTTCCGTTTCTGTATCAAAATAGGTAGATTGTTCCTTAAAAAGCTCTTTTCTTTGACAGGAAAGAATTGGCTTCCTGGCTGATGGTTTCATTGGTGAGGTGAGGTTCAGATGATGTGAATGCATGATGACACTGCTGTGTCCTCCTCCTGACTGGCTTTGCTCTTCATGAGAAGTGTGACACCACCCTAAATAATTGTAGTAACTCCTGCCGATGGCCTTAATGGTTCCTTCTGAGTCATATTCCAGTGATCATCCTGGATCCAAATATGTGACTAGTCAGTTATCAGAGAAGCTTTCTGTTACTTGTTTATTCCCAGTCCTAAATAAGTATAGTTGTCCTAAGGCAAATGCATATGTGATTTCATCTCTTACGTAACTGGATGATGGATTGATGTATGTACAGGCTGGAGAGCACAAAGACAATCAAAGAACTGATCCATCCTGCCAGATGAGGAAAAGCTGAGACACCTGACTATGTTAAGCCTTGGGAAAAGGAGACTTAGGGGAGACTTTAGCACCATGTTCCAGTATTTAAAGGGTAGCTACAAAGAAGATGAAGACTCCCTTTTCACAAGGAATCCCATGGAAAAGATGAGGGGTAATGGTACAAGTTACTCTGGGGGAGATCCTGGCTGGACACAGAAGGAAAATTTTCTAACTAAGAACAATCAGCCATTGGGATAAACTCTCCAGCAAAGTGGTGGATTCCCCAGTACTGGACACTTGAGAGTCGGCTGGGCAGGATGCTGGGCCATCTTGCTTTTGACAGAAAGCTCAGACTATGATTCTTGATGTCCCTGCCAACCTGGTTTTCTACAATTTCATGGTTCTATGACAACACAGATAGAGGCTCCAAGAAAGAAAATTGGGCAAAACTGGACTGAGAAGGTTCATTCCATAATTGGTTCAAACCTTTGACTGGGACATCTTTGACTAGAGGTATGTTAACCAAATAGTGGGATGCACCAGCTCTCTGCTGTATTGCTTTCAGTTGCTGCTGGTCAGCTGTTTGGTACTGCTCCTCAGCAAACAAGCAGTCACTTCTTGTACAAATTCTCATACACTATTTCAAAATAAAATTAACCGGGTTTGCTAGACTGCAGTATCTGAAACTTAAAATACTTAGGAGCCCTCAAAAAGTGAGTTATCACATTTCTGCCTGCTTTGAGCTGCCTACATTCCTAAATTCAATCTAAGTTCTTCTATAAGTCCACAGGTGTTGAGTCCATGAAACTTAGTTGAGTGTGAAGGCTGTTGAGAATACCTCAGATACATGAATGACTTCACAGTTCAGTTTTCAAGACAGAATCCATACTGTAATACAATATTTTTCCTGTTATTCCTGTACACAGCTTTTCTCACCTCCTTTGTGAATGTGTCACATGGATTAGGGCAGGAAGTATTTCCACAAAGTTTAGCAAAATTTCACTTGACTTTGAAGGTTTGAGTTGGCTGTATCACTTCGAGTTTGCTAAATATCACAAATAAGACTGTGTGCCTGCCAGCTGGCAATCAGACATTCAAGAGGATAGAACCAATTAGCAGGGACCTAGTCCTAGCTGGAAATTGGACTCACTGTGTATGTATCCTGCACATAGCTGCATCTAGATTTTGACCTCTGGACCTTTGGCACTGCAAGGAAGGGGTGTCATCTGCCAAGTCAGAATGCAACTCCCCACTCAGTAAGCAAGAAACTGTGCCAAGTTTGCCTTAGTGTGAAGCTAAGTACGAGTGAGACGAGTTATGTCCTAGTACTCTCATGCAGGTTAGTTCATCTGAGAAAAGGGAACACATTCACTAATAATGTTTTTCTATTCTTATACGTTTTATTTCTTTTACAGTCTTATTTACTGTTTTGCAAAGCACTGCTTATTTTCATCACATTCAAATAAAAAACTAATCTTGTTTCTTTACCATCACTTTGGCATTAAAGTTCAAGGAGTACAGTGTACTTCTTCATATCACATTTAATCAAAAACTCAGAAGAATTTGATCTTGGTCATACTCATGTAAAAGTAAATGGGATCAGTAATCAGTATTTTAGATTAATTCATATTTCTAATCTTTTTAATTGAAATGAGCATAAATAACCTGGAGTTTTCTTTTCCAGTCTTTTGGTTAGATAACCTTTTTGGTTCAAAATTCTGGAAACCTCATTTATGCCAGTGTCTCTTCTGTATTGCACTGTTTTTAATTAACTTGATAGCTGCAAATCTCTAGAGAAATGCTTTTTTCCCTGTGAATTAATTCCTTTTTATTAATGGTTAGTTATAGATTCATCTATGAAACAAAGGAAGGTCCTACAAAGAAGAAACAATAGATGTGAAACAGCTATTTGGCAAAGAACATTATTGCTCTTTCCTTTCACCCGTTGCTGTTTCTTAGCATTTCAGGAGTGATAGATTATGTGGCTTCTCCCAGACTGTTTTAGCCATGTTGTGGAATGCCCTTTACTGGAAGACTTAAAGTGAGATTAGTAAAACTGCTGGTACACTTGATCTTACCTCAGTATGTAGGACGAACTACACAACCACGTGGGTTTCTTTGCTGTGGGTTTCTATTCTGCTTTGTGTGCCCACGATTCTCATGACTCAGATTCTTTTTGTAAAGAGCTGTGCCATGATACATTTAGTTAGCCTAAACTGGAAACAAAATAGATCTGCTAATGATTTGCTCACATATCGGAGCTTAAGAACTTCTCTTTCTGTTCAGTTTTAAAGCAGTGAAATGAGAGAAGTATAATTTAGAGACTTTTATTGCCAGAAATCTTGCTCACAAATGCTTTGCTCTGTAAATTAAAGGTCAAGAGGGTTTTAAAGCAGGATGTTCCTTGCCAACAAAGCAATTTAGGAAGCAATTATTTGTAGCTAATACGGTTTGGGATGGATGCCATCATTAGAACAATAAGACTTTTCCCTTGTTTTTGATCCAGTAAACATTCTGTTATGGAGCAATGTCAACATACATATGGACATTAGGGAAATGAAGACAGAATTTGAAAAGAGAAGTCACTGAATTCAAGACAAACTCATAATACAGATTTTAACTCAAAATGAAGCTGGGTTTTAGAATAAAGACTTCATTTATGATTGCTGAAGAATTATGAGGTTCTTGGAGGTCAGCAGAACTGTGGTGTTATGATTTACATAAAAGTATTAAAAGAAAGAAAGCAATTATTTAAATCCATTGTTCAAAGCAAGCTATTATGTCTACCTGGTTTAAATTAATGAAATATGACATAGTAGAAAACAAAGACATTTTCAGGCAACATATTTTATTTGCTAGAAAAGTAATCTCCAATTATATACTGCTGCTCTACTGGTTTTCCAGAAATTCAGCCTAATCAATAAAATTTCCAGAAAAAATTTTGTAAATATTTGGTTTATAACACCAAACTGAGAAGATAGAGAAAAGTGTTTTGTTTACAATATTCTTTTTTATCTGAATATAGCTGTTTTGCACAAGTATGAGAAACGATATATGGTCACAAGAGGTAACGTTCTTACGTAACTTAATTTTTGCAGCACTTGGAAAACATCTTGCACTTTTTCTGCATTTCTGGTCAACTGTGACAATGAAAGAAAATTATTATTTTTCCTGTTCTTTCCTATGATATTGGTGGTAAATCCAACTGAAAAGAAGATACGTTTGCTGAACAAACCACATTTTAGCCACACAGCTCCTATTGTATCTGAGTTAGAGTCTTGTGGAATGGCCAGTGTCCAAGGACAAAAAGAAGTAAAACATCTGCTCCAACATAAATATGGAAAACTACTTTAGGGAACATTTATGTCTATTAACATCAGCTGTGTTACACGTGTTAAACTTATACTAAGTTCTAGTGTTCTGAACAAAGCCAGAATATCTAAAACTGTTCTTCTGCAACAGCAAAACAGAAATAGGACAAAAATGAAACAGGAAAAAAAAAAAAAAAAAAAAAAAAAAAAAAAAAAAAAAAAAAAAAAAAAAAAAAAAAAAAAAAAAAAAAAAAAAAAAAAAAAAAAAAAAAAAAAAAAAAAAAAAAAGCAGCCATGAAAAGAAGACCTGTGATCACATGCAAATGCTGAAATAATGATTTTATTTTTTTTTTTTAAATTTTAATGATGCTACACATAGAGCTGACCAGAAGAGCTGATCATATCTTGTCAAAATCCTTGCTGATTTATTAGAAGCAGAATCTATCAGGTTGTTTCTGGAAATGAAATTTGAACTATGATTGCGTACACATCAAGCAGGAGTGTGTTAGGCTGCCATTTTTCCTCTTGTAACACTTTGTTCAAGATTTTACCTAAACACACTCCACTCTACTGATGCTGTAATCCAGTGAAGGAAGGCTCAAAGCTTCTGTATTTGTAATAAGTAAAAGAACAAACAGTCTCAATTGTCAAGATTATGCTTGGCCTAGCCAGCAAAAATTTTAACTTAAATTACAAA